AACGAGCCTCGCTCGCAATGCTATGCTAAATCATTGTAGGATCATTGCCAATATGTCTCATACCATTATTAGGCAAAATACAAGTATCATTTTTAATGTTTAACTAAGAAAATTTTTGTATTGTATTAATTTCTTATAATAACTAGATGAAGACGTCTGAGGGACAAACTGTAAACATAAATTCCAGTAAACCCCAAATGTAATTAAACATTAAAAGTTATTCAAATCTATTAAACTTTCTAAAAAAATTATTTGGTATGGCGAATATAGTGAAAATTTCAAACAGCAATAAGAAGACAAAACTTGCGCAAACTCATCTACGTTATTGACATCAACATTTACAGTGCATGTAAAATAAACTTGAAAGAGTGATATAACGGGAGATTTGCATAAAAACTGCACGACAAGAGTCGGGCACAGTCCGTCAGGCGCCGATGGGTTTACGCAGGCGAGCGTGTCACCGACAGCCAGTGGACTGTGGGAGGTCCGTCATCGCCACCGTTGCAATACGTCCCCAACACGGAATCGATTGGACATAGTAAAAACAACCGATATTTTATACAGTGCTACTGAAAAAATAACTTTTTTATTTTCAGATTAAAAACTGCTGTTTAATTTTTTTTAGATTTATTTTACTATTTCATAAATATAGATTAAATTCGCCGTTTAATCGAATAATAGTGTACATATAAAGCAATTCGACAAACGAATGTATTTATTTGCAAAATCACTTTATTTCTCCTTGTTTACACATTACCGAATAAAACATATGGGCCAGTTATAATTTTCATCTCAATCACGTTTTATTCTCGCATATTTAATAATTAAACAACAGTTTAACATCATTACTGTAGAAAGATGGGAGGCAAAATAAAAACAATAATAAAGTTTGTAAGCGTTAGAGCAGTAAGCTGGAGAGCAATCCAGGAGGGGCCTAGCTCCGGAGAAATGCACACAAATTGTTACTTCTTACTTCCCGGGGTTTAATCAAGGGGGACACCCGCCGCGTCCGCCGACGGCCGCGCTTCCTTCAACCTGGCGTAAATTGAGAATAATGGATACACTGTGCCATTTTAGGGTTCCTTACTGCAAACGCTACTACCTACGCTTCTTGATGTTTTAAATAAAAAAATATTTATGATTGCATTAAAAAATTGATTGACGGCCACTAAAAGACGGATAGCTTGACTCAATTTCGGTAAATAGATAGTTTCAATTAAATATCCATTTTAAATCATTAAAATTTATTTTTGTATTAATTCGAAGTTTACGATAAATTTTTGCGAGTAAATAATGTTTTTTATGCTGTAGGAAGCGTTCTAGTCTTACTGGTCATGCCATTCAGCTGCGCTTGCGCTGGACCAAGCAAGCCTGGATCGTGCATTGTATATCAGTTTTACGAGCTCGTTAGTGCCAGTAATCGCGACGTTGCACGATCCGGATTACGCCTGTGCATTATTAGTGTTTTTATTGATTCACTCGGCTGCCGTCGTAAACTGAGATTATTATTCGCACGCCCCCTCCCCCACGATAACCCCTCGCTTACCCCTCTCCCTCCTCAGTCATCCAGCCGAGTTGTTTTGTCACTTAATCGCCGGCGATAACAACATTTAACGACGGCTAGGTGACTGGCGAAATTCCGCTCCGATGTTTAGTGCTCATTCTATTTTCATTAACCATTTACCCACTTAATGATCCAGATCGTAAGGGAGTGATACAATGACTTGAAGTCGTAAAATTAAACCGTAGCGTGACCTGAACGATATAATCAAAAAGTTATCAAGTGTAAACTAAACCGGCTACTGGACTGCTTGAGAAAAGAACATAGTCTACAGAATGACGAAACAAATTATCAATTATAAAACACTAGCTGTTGCTCATGACTTCGCGTACCATCTTTCGAATGCATCATCACTTTCTTCAGGTGGGATCGCGGTTAAGCGTTAGCTTAACAAACATAAAAAAAAATCGACCGCGTAAAGTTAAAAAAAAAATAGCCTATGTTATTCACTGGTAACATAGCATTTTAGGGGTGTAAGAATTTTTAAAATCGGCCCAGTAGTTTATGAGTTATCTCAATATATACAAAAATCCAATCGCACAAATCGTCCTTCTTTATAATTTAGAAGTCAATAAAATAAAATCTACTCATTACAACAAAATAATTTAATTGAAATATAAAAATGTTTTGAAAAAGCTTATTGTATTCTAGTTTCCAAATCCAAAAAATAAGTTACATTTACAATATAAATTCTACAACGTATTTATTACAGTAATATACAAATAATGCCACGTGAAATACGGTACAAGGCAGTTAATTGAAAAAGGGAATTCGTGAGCTGGGAGGAGGGAGTTAGGAATTTTGTTCAAATACTCGGAAAACTAGTTACGCACTCAAAGCGTTCCCGTGTTTAGGAAGCCAAATATAATAAGTTTAATTTATGTTGGGATTAACTCTGAACTAATGACTTCAGTTTTACCTCATGTTGATATCTAAAAGCTAGTCAAATAAGCGAAATAGAATTTACTAGTTTTCCTTTTTAAAAGTATTTTGTCTCCGTCTAGCTGGCATTTATAAATAAGTAAAATAAAATAAAAATACTTTTATATACGTACTAATATAGAATACTTATATAATAATATAAGAGAGAGAGGGGAAGAGAGAGAGAGAGAGAGAGAGAGAGTCGATCGACTGGCAGGCGACGACGCAGGACAGACGACGCTGACGCTCTCTCGTGTCGGAGGCCAAGACCCACTTTGGGTCGCTGCGCCAACGCAGTAAGTAGATAATAATAAAACATACTTAAATAAATACTTAAACACTTAAACATACTTAAATTTACTAGTTTATTATTATACTTCTAATCTTACTAACATTATAAATAAGATAGTTTGGATGTATGGATGGATGTTAAAGTTTGTAGCCTGAACAGCTGAACGGAGCTCGATGCAATTTCGCAATGATACAGAGGACAGTCTGTAAGAACACATAGGCTACTTGCTTTTGTCTTTTTTTTAATTCCACGCAGACAGAGTTGTCGGCGAAAGCTAGTGTTTACATACATAATTTGTTTCTAAAAGCCAACTAGTAAGTCAATAAGGTAATGAATATATTTGATTCAATATTATTCCTTATTTATAGTCTTAATATGTATTTCTAGCTTTCACCCGCAACTCCGTTTGCATGGAATTAAAAAAAAACAAAAGCTATCCTCTACAATTATACAAACTTTCATCGAAATTCGTTCAGTCGTTTAGGCTATACTGTAACATCCATCCATCCATCCATCCATCCATCCATCCATCCATCCATCCATCCATCTAAACTTTTACATTTATAATATTAGTATTGTCAATTAAATAAATGTATTATAAAGATTACTTTGTAATACAAATGTGTTAGATAGTAGAATTGGTTTTCATAAAATTAACAAGTCAAAATCAATTTACTGTCTAGATCGGGTAAGTCATTTACACGCATCGCGTAGAGGGTG